CATCCTATCTGACCACTATGGATTAAAGCTTCATATCAACAACAAAAGAAACAATAGAAAGTGTAAAACTTGTGGAAACTGAGCAACTCTCTACTTAATGAAAAATAGGCCGACAGAAATTAAGAAAGAAATCAGACTTTCTAAAATTGAGTGAAAATGAATACACAGCATACTCAAACTTATGGGACACAATGAAGGCGAGTCTAAGAGGCAAACTCATAGTATTAAGTGCCTATATAAAAAAAAATGGAGAGATCTTATACTAGCAATTTATCAGCATACCTGAATTATCTACAACAAAATGAATAAATAACAACCAAAAGGAGTAGACAACAAGAAATAATCCAACTCAGGCTGAAATCAAAATAGAAACAACAACAACAAAACAATAAAAGAATCAGTGAAACAAAAGTATATTCTTTTTTAAAATTAATACGATTGACAAACCCTAAAAGACAGATAGAGACTATCCAAATTAACAAAATTAGAAAGGAAAGGGGGAACATAAGAACAGATACCAGAGGAAATCCAGAGAATCATAAGGACAAACTTTAAAACCTGTACTCCACCAAAATGGAAAATCTAAAAGCAATGGATAATTTCCTTGATACATACCACTTACTAAAGTTAAACCAAGGTCAGACAAGCAATTTAAATAGACCTGTAGCTGCTAGTGAAATAGAAGCAGTCATTAAAAGATTCTCAACCAAAGCAAGCCGAGGGCCAGATGGTTTAGTGCAGAATTCTACCAGACTTTCAGCAAAAACAGCATGGTATAGGCACAAAACCAGACGTGTTCATCCATGGAATTGAGTTGAAGACCCAGATTGAAATCCACATACCTATGGATACCTGTGTTTTGATAAAGAGGCCAGAAATTCATACTGGAAAAAAGCCCAGTATCTCAACAAATGGTGCTGGACAACTTGATGTCTGCATGAAGAGTCCAAATAGATCTGTACTTATTACCCTACACAAAACTCAACTGCAAATGGATCGAAGACCTCAACATAAATCCAGATACACTGATTCTGATAGATGAGAAAGTGGAGCATAGCCTTGGACTCATTGGCATGGGAAGAGACTTTCTGAACAGAACACTGTTAGCACAGGCACTAAGATAAACAATTAATAAATGGGACCTCATGAAACCGAAAATCTTCTGCACAGCAAAGGATGCCATCATTCAGGCAAATTGACAGTGCACAGAATGGGAAAAGATTTTTACCAACTACACATCTGATAGAGGGATAATATCCAAAATATATAAAGAACTGAAAATTTGATATCAAGAAACCAATAACCCCATTGAAAAAATGGGGTACAGAGCTAAACAGAATTCTCAAGAGGAAATCCAAATTGCTAAGAAACACTTGAAAATGTTCAACATCCTCATCCACCACAAAAATCCACAAAACTACTTTGAGATTTCATCTTATACCTGTCAAAATGTCCAAGTGACAGCTCATACTGGAGAAGATGTGGAGTAAGGAGAACACTCATACATTGCTGATGGGAATTAAAACTTGTACAGCCACTATGGAAATCAGTGTGGTGGTTCCTCAGGAAGGTGGGAATTACCTATCTCAATGTCCAGCCAGCTATACCACTCTTGGGCATACATTCAAAGGACACTTCATCATACCACAAACCCACTTGCTCAACCATGTTCATTTCTACTGTATTCGTAATAGCCAGAAACTGGAAACAACCTAGATGTTCTTCAACAGAAGAATGGATAAAGAAAATGTTGAACATTCACACAATGGAGTATTAGCTGTTAAAAAAAAATGACACCATAAAATTGCAGACAAATTTGTGGAACTAGGAAATAGCACCCTGAGTGAGGTATCCTAGACCCTGAAAGGCAAGTATGATATGTATTTGCTTATACATAGATATTAGCTGCTAAGTCATTGATAACCAGGCTAAAATCCATATCATGTAATTCATATGCATACATATATATGTATATGAATTAGGGGGTTGTGGCATGGGAGGGTCAAGTGGGGAGGGGAGAGGGGTAGTGGGAGAGAATAAAGGGAAATAGAGCTAAAATTAAGGGGTGTTTGTGGGGTAGTATGGGTAGCTAACACTTAGAAACCTCTAAAAATACATACATATATGAAGGTGATCTAAATGAGATCTCTAAACAGTGGGGGAGACAGAGTCCTGATTGGTCGTCTCTCATCACCAAATGAAGCTTTCAGTACTGTATTGGGTTACATCTAATTGAGTTGTCAATCATGCCCACACAACCCAGGCTGTTGGCAAAACAATAGGTTGCTCTCCAAGGTCTGACGGCAAAGCCCCATTGCTGAAGACAACACACACAACTCATTGAAGATGGAGAAGTCCAGATGCTGCTGCCCACATAGAGTCTTCACCCCAACATCCCAACATCTTTGCTACAGGAAGATACTCTGCACACTATCAAAAAGGAAGTGTAAACACCAAGCCGGCCACAAACACTGTCTACAGTGGTCTACTACCTGCAAGATATGTTAGGGTAGATATGGCACAAAGCCTGTGGGAGTAACTAACCAATACCTGACCCGACTCGGGGCCCACTCCGTGAGACGGAATCCATGCCCAACACTGCTTGGGTGTCCAAGAACCTGAGACTAGATTACCCAGTGTTCCAAGACAAACCAAATAATACCGGCCTGAAAGAAAAAAGAGGAAAAAATGTAGTGATAAATGACTCCTAATGACATTCTGCTACACTCGAAGATCTGTGCCTTATGCAGCCCTCATCAGAGAAGCCTCCTCCTGCAGCAGATGGGAACAAATAAGGAGACCCACGGGCAGACATTTTTGGGTGTTGTATTTTGTTTTCCAGGTTTTGTTGTATTTGGTTTCTGGAGCTTTTTTTTTTCTTTTCTTTTCTTTTTTTTTTTTTTTTTTGAGAACTTAAAGTTGAGGGGAAGGGTGGAGAATATGGAAGGATGAGGTGGTAGGGAAAATATGACCAAAATATATTTGTTTGTTTGTTTTTGGTTTTATTTTTTATTTATTTTTTTAAAGATTTATTTATTTATTAGGTATATAATGTTCTGCCTACATGCATGCTTGCAGGCCAGAAGAGGGCACCAGATCTTATTACGGATGGTTGTGAACCTCCATGTGGTTGCTGGGAATTGAACTCAGGACCTTTGGAAGAACAGCCAGTGCTTTTAACCGCTGAGCCATCTCTCCAGCCCCCCCCCTTTTTTTTTGTTTTTTTGAAACAGGGTTTCTTTGTGTAACAGCCCTGGCTGTTCTGGATCTCGCTCTGTAGACCAGGCTGGCCTTAAACTCAAGAGATCTGCCTGCTTCTGCCTCCCAAGTGCTGGGATTAAAGGCGTGGGCCACTATTGCCTAGCCATTATATTTAGATTTATTCTTCAGACTGACGCTTCCCTTCCCTCCACTCCTCCCAGCTTCCCTCCCCTCCCCCAATACCTCCCCTCCCCCCATCTCCCCAAGAAAAGAACAGGCCTCCCAGAGACATCTACCGAACACTGCACAACAAGATACAATACGATCAGGGGCAAAGCCTCATATCAAGGTTGGGTGAGGCAACCCAGTAGGAGGAAAAGGGTCCCTAAGAGCAGGCAAAAGAGTCAGAGATACTCCCAGTGTCAGGGGTCCCCCCAAAACAACAAGCCAACAATATAACATATGCAGAGGACCTAGCGTAGACCAGCCCGGGCTCCATGATTGCCGCTTCAGTCTCTGTGAGCCCCTCTGAGCCCTGTTGAGTTGATTCCACACTGTGCTCACCCAGTGTCCTCAACTCCTCTGGCTCCCACAATTCCTCTTCCCTCTGAGCCCTGAGGAGAGGGAGCCACTGGAGACCCCCAACCTGGGCCCTCCCTCCAGCTGATGTTTGGCTGTGGGTCTGCATCTGCTCCCATCAGCTGCCAGATGCAACCCCTCTGATAATGACTGGACTAGGCAGGGATCCGTGAGTGTAGCAGAACATCATTAGGAATCACTTCATTGGTGCTTCCTTTTGTTTTGGCCACTCTTGTTTGGTTCTACCCTAGGTCTCTGGGCTATGCAGCCTCTTGTTCCTGGTCATCCAGGCAGTGTGGGTCATGGGGTCCCTCTCTGTGGTATGGGCCTAAAATCAGACCACCCACTGATTATCCGCTCCCACAGTTCTGTGCCACCGTTGCCCCAGCGTGTCTTGCAGGCAGGACAGATTGTAGGTCAAAGGTTTTGAGGCTGGCTTGGGGTCCTAGTCCCTCCACTAAAAACCTCGCCTGGTGTTTAGTTGGGGTCTCTATTGCTGGGATGAAACCCCTATGACTAAAAAGCAAGTTGGGAAGGAAAGGGTTTATTCAGCTCACACTTTGATATCACTGTTCATCATGGAAGGAAGTCAGGACAGGAACTCAAATAGGGCGGGATCCTGGAGACAGGCACTGATGCTTGCTCAGCCTCCCTCCCTCCCTCCCTCCCTCCCTCCCTCCCTCCCCCCCTTTCTTTTTATTCTTCTCTCATACAATACATCCTAACTGCAGCCTCCTCTCCCTCCACCCCCCCCCATCCACTGCTCTTCCATTTCCATTCAGAAAAGAACAGTCTGCTTTCTTAGAGAAACCAGGACCACCGGCCCAGAGGTGGCCCCACCCACAGTGAACTGGGCCCTCCTCATCGTCATTAATAAAGAAAAGGCCCTACAGCTGGACCTCATGGAGGCATTTTCTCAGTTGAGGTTCCCTCCTTCAGATAACACTCGTTTGTGTGTCAAATTGACATAAGACTAACCAGCACAGCTGGTCACAGAAGATGGACAGTTCCGGCTCCATATCCTCCATGACTAGGACTCCTCACCAGGGTCACCCTTACAGATTCCAGGGACTTACACAAAAACCTTCAGAAGTATCACAAAGAGCTTGTAAACTCATTTCCCAGCACTTGAAGGTGGATGGCTGGTAATCAGGGTGGGGCACTCAGCCCTGCAAACTCTTAAATAACCCACCAACACCAGCTACAACAGAAACAAGGGAACAGTGACAAACTCCCAGGTCTCGCTCACTTCAGAGGGCATAGGAGAGTTTATTCTGGAACCAAATATGAGTGACCGCAGCCCAGGAACATAGATCCCGGTCACCCCAAATCCTGTGTTCAGACAGGGTCACAGTGTCCACCACACTAGGTTTCCACCCCCACTCCACGCCCTCCGACTTCTGTCATCTCTTCCGTTTTTGAATAATTAAAAAATACAATAAAAAATTAAAAAGCCACTTCTGATATCTTAATATTTAAATATGCGAGTTTCATTTGGTGCTCCTTGGGTGCAGTTCTTCACACGGGGTGGTGGCTGCCCCCACTCTGTTCTGTCCCCGGGTCGGTCAGCGGCTTGCCCCTCTGCCAGTCTTGGTACTTAGGGCTAGATTAGTTTCCCCAGGAGTTGTCTGGTTCTCCTGCTTTTCCGAAACTTCCGGTTATTCTTGAGATGAGTTCCTGTTAGGGAAGAGATTTTCTTGAGTAATTATGACTGTCCCGCTGATTGTCACCAAACCTGTGTCAGACCCTTGTAGTCTCTCATGTCAGTGGCACTGACTCCTCTCTTTCCTGGATGGCATTCAGGAGGCATCTGTGACATCAGGTGCCCTTCAGGTACAAACATGTGGACAGTCATGGCTGGAAATCATGGCAGCAGGAGCATGGGGCATTGGTCAGACTGCATTCACAGCTGGGAAGCAGAGAGACATGCATGCTGGTATTCAGTCCACTTTCTCCTTTTTAAAAAAGTGGGGGGGGGGGAGCGCGCGTGTGCGCGCGCACGCTTGAGAGAGAAGGAGAGGGTATACAACTTGAGCATCAGTTATTCCCTTTCAGCATGTGGGTCCCAGGGATGGAAGTCAGGCTGCAGGCCGGGCAGCAGCACTCAGAGACCTGCTGAGCAGTCCATTGGCCTCTCCTCCTTGCCTAGTCCAGGCCCCGCCCATAAGATGACGCCATAGCTTTTGCTTACCAATAGCTCTTCGAATAGTGTCAATGATATTCTCCAGAGCTTCAAGGCTTTTCATCTGAAAAAGTGTTTCTTTCTCTCCATCTGTGGGAACAGGTAAGGACAATGACTAGACTCCACAATTATTGTTTAACCACAAACTTTTTGAAACCAGGCCACTGGGGTCTCAAAATACAGAGTGAGCTATGCCTTGTGTACATATTTGTAGCCTGCTGCCCTGTGGCCACCAGGAGAGCCTATTCAGTCCAAATTCATGAAGAAACAAAAAACTTCAAATAGTCATAGTCATGCGCCATAAAACAAATGAAGCTGGAGGCCAGATGAAATGTTTTAAATTCCTGGAGGCAGGAAAATTCTCAGAAACCCAAACTGAAAGCCATTCCACAGAGGGAGTGGCCTGTGTTCTTCGAGGTCATCAAAGACACAGTGGAAGAGGAAGCAGCTGTGTTGGGGACACTGAGACAGTGGACAGGTGGCATCTTTACAGGCTCTGGACCCAGAAACACAGTAGAGGGGTGCTGATGTTTGCATATGCTGTGTGCATGTTCCCAGGAAGAAGCTGTGCCTTGTGTGAACCCTCTGCAAGGTTGTAGACTGATAGAAGAACTACAGTGAGTGTGGAGAGGTTGGAATGTTGCAAGTCTGTGATTATAGTCTATATGGAACGTCTTTTGCCCCTTACTAGCCATTTCTTGCCCACCACTGTGTCTGACTAACATCTCTGAGACTATTAGGGAAAACCTTCTGGAGTGTACAAACAGACCCTTAGCTTCCACCGATCCCAAAGCTAAGACTGTCCTCAGATAGTGTCGAGGCCTGTAACAGAGACTTCTTGCTTGTCTGTAACTGCCTACCTGGTTTCCATTGATGTATTTTAACAGTGTCTTGATGTATAACTTCCTTTGTTCTATTACTATGGAAACTTAGTGAAACTGTGACCTTGTCTGAACACGGGATCTGTGTTCCTGGGCTGCGGTCACTCATATTTGGTTCCAGAATAAACTCTCCTATGCCCTGTGAAGTGAGCGAGACCTGGGAGTTTGTCACTGTTCCCTTGTTCCTGTTGTAGCTGGTGTTGGTGGGTTATTTAAGAGTTTGCAGGGGTGAGTGTCCCCACCCTGATTACCAGCCATCGACCTTGAAGTGCCGGGAAATGAGTTTACACGCTCTTTGTGACACTTCTGAAGGTTTTTTTTTTTTTTTGTAAGCTTAAAATACTGTCACAATGGAGGCTATTTTAAGTTCCTTGCTCTCCTTTTTTAACCTGTCCTGGGTATTTTCCTGATCCTTGTTCCCTAGGCGACACCCGCTTGCACATGACCATACAGTAGCCCATTTCTGCTTGCAGTCAGGCAGACGCAGACTCTAGTCTCCCTCCACAGCACTTGGCAAACAAGCATCTTTGTTTACATTGACCACGCTAGTTTGTAGTGGAGGCCACAGTGTGCTTTCTCCAGCTTCCTTCCTGCCGTCTCCACAGCTGTAAGGCCTCAGCTCTAAGAGCTCCAGGAGCTTCTTAGCCCCTTCCTGGACAGAGGCACAACACCTTGTCCTGAACCTGGGAGACACTGAGGGGCAGGTTAGCCCACAGGCCACACGCCTCCACTTTTCCCTTGGGCCCTCGGTTACAAAGTTGAAATGCTCCAGATGTGCTTCCTCTCTCGCCCTCTGCCACCCATGTCCCCCTGCAGCAGCCAGACCCGGGGCTGGTTCCCCACCTCCCGCTGCCTGCTCTCCCCGGAGCCCCAAGCATGCAGCTGCACGCTGCAGTCAGCATTTCCACTGGACAGTGCTGGAGTCGGGCTGGGAAACATGCATTCTCTAGCGGGCTGGCACACACTCAGCACCGGTGTTGTGGCCACCCAATGCCCTTGGCGGATGATGCACGCGCAGAAAGGTCCATGTGAATGTGAAGGTGGCACAGAAGGGTATGCTAGAGCTCAGTTTGGCATCAGGGTCCCCGGGCCTGCATCTCACCTCCTGTCCTCTGTTCTCCATGTCCTCAACTTTGGCATCACTGCAAAGATGAGGACACCCTGGAGGAGGGGCGCTCTGCCGTGTGCCAGAGACCTACAAGTACAGCCGTTTTCTGACCCGCGTGACCGTATGCGGAAAGGGGGTGGAGGCTTTCACTCAGCACTGCACACCTGCTGTGCCCAAGGCAGCTCTGGGCAGGGGCTGCAGCTTTGGTATCTCCCAGACATAAAGAGGCCATGAGCTCTCCATCCAAGCAAAGGTACCCAGACGGCAGGTGGGCCTGACTTACTGTCTGTTCCAGAGACTGAGAGCTCAGGGCAGCCTCCAGGTCCAGCAGTGCTCACAGCCTTGCTCTCTCACCTGGTCGAATGTCTTTTCCTGGAACTCTCCTTTCCCCAGGAGGGGCTCCAGCAGAGGACCTGTGTGCCGAGGATGAAGATGGCCCGCTACACTTTGCCTTGGCACACTGACTCCCACTTCTGCTCCTGTTCACTGGGGCCTAGACTTGGGCTTGGTGGGCAGTCCATGATGTGACCATGGAAGGAAGTTGCCTGGCTACAGCCCATCCCTCTGTGCCCTAGAGACCTGAAGTAGTGAGTGACCAGAGAGCAGGAAGAGGAGCAAAAATCAGGATGTGGGATTCCTAACTGTCAGAATGAGCCTTGTGCTGAAAGACCTGCACCCTGACAAGATACAGCCCCAAAGCAGTTCTTGTCAATCTCCAGTCAGAACGATCTGTGCCACCCTGTGTCTCATGCCCCAGATTTACTACAAAGCCTGGGAAGTACAACTCTTATGAAGCCAGCCATCACTCCTGAATGTGTGCTTTTGTTTTGAAGATCTGTTTAAAAATTATTTATGTGTGGGAAGCCTGGAGAGATGCCTCAGAGGTTAAGAGCACTGACTGCTCTTCCCCAGGTCCTGAGTTCAATTCCCAGCAGCCACATGGTGGCTCACAACCATCTGTAATGAGATCTGGTGCCCTCTTCTGGCCTGCAGGGACACATGCAGGCAGAATACTGTACACATAATAAATAAATCTTTAAAAAAAAATTACATGTTTGTGTGTGAATGTATGTATGAATATATGAATCATACAGGTGTCTGTGAAGTCCTAGAGAAGTCATTAGATCTCCAGTTGTGAGTCGCTTGACATGGGCATTGGGAACCGAACTTGGGGTCTCTGCAAGAGCAGCAAATACCTCAATGGCTGAGCCATTTCTCCAGCCCCATGGGTGATATGTTTGCTAATAAAATCTCCTTCCAGTTCATGTTTTGTCTCTTTGAATTCTTCCTCTGTCTGAGACAAGAACGTGGAAACAATGGCTGGGTATCTCTGCCTTCTTTCTGACTCCGAGATCTGCCTAACCTTCTTCACTGGCAGCATCATTCGGCAACAGATACCTGGCAGGGAGTCTGGCAGGGGTGTCCAGGGAACTGAGGGCTCTGTCCACGGTGCTGCTGCTGAGACCCAGGACTTCCTTCTTGAATGCTGGCTAGTTAGCTCAGTTCTGCATGCGGAATCCCAGGCAGCCCAAGGGCCCTCCTTCCTACACTTGCCACCTTCTCTTTCTGGATGCTGTTCATATTCCCCGGGTCTCACACCAGCCTCTGGGGATCTCTCAGTCCCCTCCAACCCCGTCCTCACCCTCTCCATCATGAAGGCATAACTCATGTGCATTTTCACTCAGTCCCCGAAGAGGCTTGGCTTGGCTTGGTTGCTGGGAATCAAACCATTGCAGTGAGGGATTCATTTGTACTAATGGCTGATGTGTGCCCAGGGTCCAGAATGATTCTCCTGCAGGACCCAGCAGCTCAGGGACTACGTGGGGAGGGAGGGACTCCATATGGCGGCCATAGGCCAGTCCTCAGGCCGAGTCATCAGTGCAAACTTCGGACTGGACTGGTTCAGGATGTTTGCTGACCTCCAGTGAGCAAGCGCACTGTTCCCAAGGGTGTGGCCAGCTCCAGGGCCCTGGCCATACCTCAGGGTCCCCTCTCCCTCCTTTGTTAGAGCCTCAGATCTCCTTACCTCCGAGGCTGTTCTCTGTCTCTCAGTCTACTTTTGCCTGCCACTATGCATAGGGCAGTCCTGTGTCCTATGGATTCACCTGTACCCTCTCTGACTGTAGGCAGCTACCAGAAGAATCCTTACCTATTGATCTAGAACCATCAGCTAATGTCACCAGACTCATGAGTGGGACAAACTCAAGGGTACTAGAATCATCCCTTTAAATAGATCTGTGTTCTTCCTAATGCCATGGAGACATCGTTCTGATACACCCCAAGCTTCAGCTGCTGGACAAGGATTGAAATGCAGGTTCCCATACCCATATTGCATCACCATTATTAATGTATTAGTATGTTCCCTCTTCTATACCTGAAACCACATAGGGTTACTCTGCAAGCAATGTACATGTACATCCCATGCTACACATATCCTTCATTGTGTCTATTCTTTACATCAAAGAGCTGTGTCTCCTGTGGGTGTCAGCGGTGGCAGACTCATCTGATGGAGAGAGGGAGGCTCCCTCCCCACCCACAATTCCTGCCCTGGCATGGGGGCACTCTCTCTGCTTTTCTATCCTTTCTATTCAGGGAGAAGTGACTTAAGTTGGAAGCCTGCGAGAGGACTCAGCTTGTGTTCCTTCCTGGTAACTGCCCACTCACAAGAAGATGTTTCCTCTGGGCTAGCCTGGTCTGGGTTCTGGACGGGCAAGCCTAGGGCAGGGCTAGGGAGTTGTGAGATCCTGAGTCCCAGTGCAGGACTAGACACCTGGGGCATCCTAAGGCTTGGGACACAGTTGGAATCCCACCTAACCAGGTTCGGCAACCACCAACCCCAACAGAAGACTCTCTGCTCTCACCCAAGCAGAAGCATCCATCTGTACCTGGCTGGGGCTCCCCAGTTAGGTTCCGAGCCCAGTAAAGGGTTGTGGGTTTATATTTACCATCAAAGGAAAGGGTATCTATGATCCCAGAAGATAATTGCTTCTCTTGATGTTTCTTAGGAGTGCTGGATTCTTTCTTGTGGACTTTGATGAAGAACATAGGAAAAAAACAAACAGGAAGTGTTTTTCTGTTACATGCTTGTGAACATTTTCGGCCAGAGCCCTATTCTACAACACTGAGCCGAAGGACGGCACAGGGTCCAAGTTCTAGTTAAATTGTGTGTTGGAAAGTTAATCTTCAAATAGTCAGGAGTCATCCAACCACCTCGAGCCTGGTGGTTTGGGACTAGGGTGAACAAACCCTTAGAATCTAGTTAACTCTGAACTAAAACCTCCCAGGAAGTGTTGAGTGCTCCCGCCTCTGAGTGCGTTTCCCCAAAGCCTGTCCTTGCCACTGCCTGGTCGCTTCTTCCTTCGTGCCCTGGAATGCCCCATCGGCTCTCAGTCTCACAGTGGCCTTGGGCTTGTCACCTGCTGGACCTTGGTTTTACTTTGGTCATATGGTGTAACAGAAGGGCTTCCCTTAGAAGCCATAGGTGAACACAAGGAGACAGTGTGTGTTAAACTACTGATCTGGCTCATCTGTAAGCCTGTGTTCCTGCAGTGTCTGAACCCTATTCACATCCAGGATCTTAGAACATGCGTGAATGTGACCCAGAGATCACCCCAGAGTGAAGCAAGCTGCCTCTGCCTTGGTGGTGACTCCCTCCATCTCACAAGCACCTTAACAGTGACCTTGGACCAGGGCTTCTTTCACTTGTCCACTTGCTCTTGCCCAGATGTGGCTGAATCTATAGGGTGTTCATGAAATAGGGTCCTATGTTCAACACCGCATATCTAAAAATACTTGCAGTTGTGGGGTAGAAAGGATATACTTGCTTTTATCCTTCGTTGTTTTTGATCGTGAGATTGTTGATGGGCTTGGATTTTCCAAATACGATAGTTTCTTTGGCTCCAAAATCTCCCGGACTAGAATTTCATCTTGGGAAAAGCACACAAGAATGTGTTATAGAGGCAGTGATTCTGTGAAGAATTGAACTCCAGGCAGCCTGTCAACACTGTGAATAGAAAACCCAAGGAACTTTTGGACAGTGGCCTTTACTCTGCAGAATTCATCTAGGGAGGCTATCCATACAGCCACCTCCCTAAATTCAGAAAGATCTAGATTCTCCAAGTATCTCCTGAGCACCCCTATAATCCAGATGTTGAAGGTTTCTCAATGCCCGTGGTTTCAAAGACTTGATTCCTCAGAGGCACTACTGGGAGTGATGGAATCTCTGTAAAGGTGGAGCCTAGAGGGAGGTCTTTAGGTCACTGGGGGTATCTACAGGGGAGGTGGGGGGGCCCTGGTCCCCTTTCTCTCTTTTGCTCCTTGGCCATGAAGTAAATGTTTTTATCACCACTCACTTGTACCATGATGTGTGACCGGTTGCTCAAAGCAACAGAGCCAACCAAACAAGGACTAGAAACTCCAAACTGACTCCAAATAAATATTTTATATTTATAAGTGTTTTTTTTTTTTCCTGACATTTTGTCATAGTGAGAGAAATCTAATACATTCTTCAAAGACACAAAACCCAGCCTGGCCCTGCTCATGGCTTACTTTCTGTCCCGTGATCATTTTGTCCTAACTCTGCTCTCAAGTGCTGACGGGGGAACAGCTGTGTTTCTGCACATGTCCAGCCATTTTGTGTGTGTGTAACTCTGGATGACCTGGAGCTCACTCTGTACACCAGTCTGGCCTTGATCTCAGAGATCTGCCTGCCTCTGTCTCCTGACCTTGGAGTCAGAAGATGAGGCCTCCTGCTGGGTGGGAACAAGGTCTCCTGTTTGTGACCTAGGGGTAGCTTAGGAGGGTAGACAGGGTAGCATGAGTGAGCTGTGAACATGCATCCAGTCGTTCATATGATCAAATCCATGAGTCGGGGAGTCCACGATGGTTCCCCAGCCCAGACTCAGAGCCGACCTTCCTGAAAGAGGTCCCTCCTGGGAAGGGCCCCTATCACCTGGTGGCATCTACATCTGAACCTTCCTGATGCGGCTCAGCTGAGAACAGCTTCATAGCCACATCCTGTGCTCCTGTGGTCTACTCCTGACCCCATCTGACAGGTGACCATGGGCAGACAGATGCCCAGGAGGTGACCCCTTTCCCACAGCGCCCCAGGGTGTTAAGCTGCAAGTCACAAGTCCGCTCAGATGGCTTCTCCAGGCCTCCTCACTTTACCAAGTGTAAAATGAGAGAGGTGGTACTGGGTGATGAGCACAGGATAGACCCGGGCCTGTGGGCACAGAAGGGAATGTAGCCGGTCCAGACAGAATCGGCCTCTGGGTGTGACGTACATGCTGGACTTTGTAGACAGTACTGAAGACTGACTACCACATCAGTCACTTGGCGTTGTTTGCATGCTGACGGGCTACACCAGATGGATCATGCCACACCTGCAGTTTGTACTCTGCCTCTGAGGGACAGTGTGGGTCGGACCAATGGTCCTCACCCTGCTGTGCTCTGAACCCTTACTGGAGAGTTATAGGAAACCCTGAGGTACCATGTTAAGTCAAAGCCACCGAGGGTAAAACCCTGGGTAGAGGGCAGGTCCTCACTATCTCCCTGGGGACTGCCCTGCCTGCTCTGGATGGAGGAGGCCGAGGGGCTGTTCCTTGGCCTCAGATCTCAACAGTTGCACGCACATTGCATCAGTGTGTCCAGCTAAATATGGATTCTTATGCGGAAGGTTTGAGTAGGGTGTGGTGCAGGGTGTTGGAAAAGTCCGCGGTGACAGACTACTGCTCTCTGGACAGCTCCACACGGGTTTTTGTTCTGACAGGCAGTCCTGACTTCAGTAATTTAGTCACTAGCGCTCTGGGCCAGAAGAATGTGCTTCTGACCTCAAACCAGATCAGTTCCCACAGTGCCTGGGACTGACACCAGGTTGTCTGGGAAAGGCCTTGCTGAGTGCCACCCCCTCCCTCACCATGGACCAGGCGTCCCACCCGGGGAGTCCTTACCAAACACTGTGGCTATGTCTTCATCCAGAGTGTTAAATCTTGGCAGTTGTTTAGAACGTGAACCTGATAGGGAAATTCAAAACAACAACAACAACAAAAACAACCCTGTAGTAGTTGTAGACTATTATTTTAAGGTGTGTTACTATTGTTTATGTTGCATTTGTTGAACTCTGTGAAGCTGTGTTACTCTGCCCGTCTAAAACACCTGATAGTCTATTGAAGAGCTGAATGGCCAATAGCAAGGTAGGAAAAATGGTAGGTGGGGCTGGCAGGCAGAGAGAAGATATAAAAGAGTGAAAAAACATTTCAATGCTGTTGGTTAAGTGGCGGCGCTCGTGGCACAGACGCCCCACATTGGACACTAAAATGTTGTTGTTGTTGTTTGGCTCTTTTGGGGACCCTCCACCCAGCTCCCAAATAAATCACACACAGAGGCTTACTCTTAATTATCAATACCTGGCCTTAGCTTGGCTTGTTTCTTGCCAGCTTTCCTTAACTTAACCCGTCTACCTTTTGCCTCTGGGCCTTTTCTTTTCTTACATCCGTATTTTACTCTTACTCTGTGGCTTGCTGTGTACCTGGGTAGCTGGCCTCTGAAGTCCTCCTCCTTCAGGCTACTTCTTCCTTCTTCCAGATTTCTCTTTCTATATCTTCTCTCTGCCTGCCAGCCCCGCCTATCCTTTCTCCTGCCTTGCTATTGGCCGTTCAGTTCTTTATTAGACCATTAAGTGTTTTAGACAGGCACAGTAACACACAGAGTTAAACAAAAGTAATACACTTAAAAATAACATCCCCCAACACAGTAGTTTTACAGCATTTATTGATTTTTTTCATGCAACTCTCTGTGAACAGATAGTTGTGAGGCATGGCCCCAGCCTGGTCTAGAGGAAGGATTCTGTGTAGAGTGCTGCTCTTTCCCATGGGTCTGAGGGAAGCCCTCTGGACTTGAGTTTCTCATATGGAAGATGGGAAAGACATTGGCCCATCGGACGGCTGTGTGGGTAGAACCCATGATCTCCCCAGGTGCCCTGAGTAGAGCCTGCCCTCCTGGTCACTGGAGTCACCTGCGTGGATGGTAAGACAGCGTCCACACTCAGGGACAACTCTGCTCTATCCCAGGGGCAAAGAAGGAGGAGGGTCACATGTGCTGTTTTGTAGGAAGCCGCGCTTTGCCTCCTGCATGGTTGGTGACGCCATCTGGGTGGCCACCAGACTGGGAAACTCCAGCCTGGGATCCCATCTGAGCAGCCCAGAGCCCAACTTGGCACACAGGGAAGAAGCATTTGCCCAGCCTCTGACTGAGGCTTTCCATGTCGCCGGCCAAATACTCACTTTGTCCTGTGATGAGAAACACCTCCTAAGTGTGCTTCTCTGAGCCCCGGGTGACCCTGCACACTCACTTATACCATCTGAGGTTCTTAGGGGGACGGCGAGGCCAGAGGCTGGTCACCTCATTCTTCCCACGTGAGCAGAGCCCCCCAGGGTGGTCTGTCTGCCGTTGAGAAGGGGAGTCTCTGGTTAGTGAGCTGTGGAGTTCTGGATGGCAGTTGTCCCCAGAGTCCAGGGCTGTCTCATCTGTGATGTCTGCTTCCTGGTGGACAGGAGGAGCGGTGCTGGGCAGATGGGGTCTAGCTGTCTCTAGACACTACGGCAGTTCTGAGGACCAGTTTCTCCTCTGCAGCATCCAGCACACACGTCCTCCTTCTGACATGACCTTTGTTTATCTCGGGGCTGTGGTGTCTCTTGATCTGGTGCACCCCTTAGCTTGAGCTCAGGGTTGGCCTCTTCCTCCAACTCTCGGGTCCTGGGACCCCCGAAGATGGCAAGCAGGGCCACCTTGTCTTCGCTTTCTGAGACACAGAGCTCTGTCTGGGAGAAGTAAAGTTGCCGCTAAACCAATGACAAAGCTGTTCTCCAAGGCTTTAATGATGGGCAATCTGCATCCCAATGTGCTCATCTGCACGGCTCGGAACAAAGGGAAGTATGGAAGGAGGTCTGTGACGGTGATGACAATTGCTTCCCAGTGTGCTGACCTCGGTAAACCAAACAAACAGTACAGATCTCTTTGCAGGAGACATTAATGGGTCGTTACGAATGGGTACAGCTGCGCAGCGCCAGCACTTTGTTAAAAATATTCTTTTCATCTCGTGTCTGTCCCGTAATCACAATGGAAGCATTGTGCAAGTCAGCCGTGTGCACATGCGTGGTGTGTGTGCTCCTGGTGTCCGTGCCTGTTAGCGTGCATTGTCAAATGTAGCTGCTCTGCCGTGGTTTTCCTGTTGTCCCCTCCTCCAGAGAGTCACAGCTTCCAGACAGCACACACCCACAAGGTCAGGACACTGATGTCTTCTCACTGCCCACGTCAGCACATTCTGGCTTCATGAAGTTCACTGTTGAGTTCTGAGTTCACTCCAGTTAGTTTAGTGAACGCAAGTCCGAGCCCTTCTGCATCATAAGGCTCACACTCACTGCTCTCCTTCTTCTAAGTGGATAGCACCTTCCCGTGAGGATACCACACACACTTGCAGTCACAACTCGTCTCCTGGCAAGCAGTGGGAGCACCCCAGGATGGGGTGAGGATACTTGTGTTACCCTCAGGTCATTGGAGAAATTTTCCTTTCACTGGCCCCTCAAGCTGAGGAAGACCCAGTGTGTGTGTGTGTGTGTGTGTGTGTGTGTGTGTGTGTGTGTGTGTGTGTGTGTGTGTCTCACACAGGGCTATGGTCAGATCTCAAGCCAAGAAAGACCTTGGGGATCACATAGAACTATGTCCAGGTCTCAGGCTAGGGAGTCCTTGGGGGTGATACATGGTTATGGCTAGATCTTTTATGAGGTTTGTTTTTCATTTGTTTATTTATTTAGTTGTTTGTTTGTTTGTTTATTCCTTTTTATACAGGGTCTCTCTACAAAACTCTGGCTGCCCTGAAACTTGCTTTGTAGACCAGGTTGGTCTTAAATTCAGAGCTCTGCCTGCCTTGGTCTCTGGAGTGTTGGAATTAAAGGTGTGTGTCACCATGCCCAGCCTCGACCTTGTGGTAACCATTCTACCATTCTGAAACTGATGGAGATCGTGAGGGTCACCCAGGAGTTTAGTGAAGTTTCAAGCTGGTGAAGACCGTGAATGCTATCCCAGTTTGGACCAGATTTAGGAGGAAATGACTGGATAGCGTTGAGATCAAATCCCTTAACAAACACCAGTTGAGGAATTCTCATGCACAGGCAAGGGTCGTGCAGGGCAGTAGACAAGTGAGGCCGGCAGAGACTCGTGAGGACCAGCACCCTGTACCTATTCTGGATCCTCCCGACACCCACTGCCATATACAATTTGCTTTGTAAATGACCCAGACTATGTTTCTTTAAGAAAAAGGGAGGCCAGCCATACTAATACATTGGTGGATTCTTTAACTTAAAGAATAGGGGAGATAAGGGGCTGGAGAGATGGCTCAGCAGTTAAGAGCACTGATTGCTTTTCCAGGGGACCTGGGTTCGATTCCCGAGCACCTACATGACAGCTCACAACTGTCTGTAATTCCAGTTCCAGGGGACCTGACACCCTCATACAGACATGTAGGCAAAACACCAATGTACATGAAATAAAAATAAATTATTATTTAAAAAAGAATAGGGGAGATAAAATCCCCACTAAACATAACCCATGTGTGTAACTATAGGAGGGTTGAAAGTCCACTCCCGTACACTCACATCATAGCAGTAGCAGGGATTAACAGCACAAAGACTTTGAACCTGAACCTCTGAAAGAACTCACTGTAACTAGATCTCAGATCCTGTTAGCTCATATACTGTAGGCAAGTCCAGAGGAGTAACCACCACAGGCGGTCCATACCATATTCCCAGCGGCTGGCATTGCACCTTCCTGAACTACTCCAGGGACAGTGCTCCTGTGAGACTAACCAAGAGGGAAGGACGCACTGTGTCAGAACCCACTCAGCGTAGCCAGACCAGCCACGTGGAAACGAGACCGGGAAGTTCATTCGGGGTTCAAGTGAAAGGCACACAACAAACCAAGATTCCACATACATCAAGCAGGCTCACCGTGGTGACCTGCACAAGAGTAAGCTAGTCAAAATTCCAGCGCGGATAGGAGTCCTGAGTCCCAGAGGAGCGGGCTGCTGAGGAGGGAGAGCCACTCCTGAGGATGTGGCCATGAGTAGGTTACTCAGGCTAGTGGACAAGGACACATCACGTGTGTGTAAGCAGCAGCAGCTGGACTTGGGGCTCTGCATGGAGGCTCTGGAAGGAAGCAGTGGTCGGTGTATATGGTCAGTTTACACCGGAAAGTACGTATGGAACTTCCAAAGATTTAAACAAACAAACAAACAAACAAACAAACCAGGCTGCTCACTAAGCAGGCCCGTGCGTAACAGTGGAACAAATATCCATGCCAACAGCTATACAAATGTCAACACAGAAGCAGTTACTCGAGAACACAGGATAACGTGACTCTTCCAAAGTCTGTGAGTCTCCAGTGACCAACTCTAAAGACATCTAAGTGATGAAATGACAAGGAGGGATTTCTCAAGTTATCTGTAAATCCAAAGAGGCCAAAATAAATGGCTGAACAAATTACAGAAGTTAACATTGGACATAAAAGAATTTTCAGGGGCTGGAGAGATGGCTCAGAGGTTAAGAGCACTGACTGCTCTTCCAGAGGTCCTGAGTTCAATTCCCAACAACCACATGGTGGCTCACAACCATCTGTAATGAGATCTCATGCCCTCTTCTGGCCTGCAGTCATATATGCTGTATACATAATAAATAAATAAATCTAAAAAAAAAAAAGAATTTTCAGTAAGGAGATGGAGATTCTGAAAAACACACCTGGATGCCCAGTAAATCACTCAAGAACACGGTAGAAAACCTCACCAGGTCAAGTGGAAGAGAGGCTGTCAGGGCTGGAAGCCAAGGCTGGTGTGTAACCACGCTCGGAAAGTAGTAACAGAAAGAAGGCAGAATAAACAACATACAAAATCAACAATTAAGCCAGGTACAGTGGCATTTGCCATTCTTCCCAGCATTTGGGAGGCACAGGTAGGCTGATATCT